AAAAATGTCCGAAAGCAGCGGCCAGATAATTTCCTACAACATCCCATAACCTTTTGCACCTCACTTGTCTGCCACCTTTGAACAGCAGCTGTAGGTGATGAACTGAACAATGAGGCATGCCCTGAAAGCACACCGGCTTGTTCAGGGCATATTTCATTGCTTATCTCGTGAAGCCTCGGTCTATGCCTTGGTCATTCTCTTGGTCTGGTTGCTCCGCGGCCAGGGAAGAGTAGTGTGATGTGGTGTGCTACTGTTCTGGTAGCTGGTTGCATCAGTCCGACGGTAATGCCGCGAATATATTCTGGTGACTCTGTTTCTGCAGCAACTTGGCTTGGTGAGAAGAATTCCCACCCTGAAATCCAAAGTCTCTGAGTTGCCGGCTCCGCTTCTACAGACTCCAATGGCTCCTCCTGGCCGCGCCCTGGAGCTGGAGCGGCCAGCGCCTCTTCGGATGAGCTGCGGAGCTTTGGGTACTTCTTACAGCCATTTGCATGGTGTCGTCAGCGTGATAGTCTCCAAGTCTAAGGAAGCTTGGGCTCCAGTCGCCCTACGCTGTCGATAGCTGTTCAAAGTCTCGTGATTCATTTTTCCTAACCACATCATCCGAGTGTGGTTCCATGGTTGGATTTCTGGGCCTGCAACCGGTCGCAGTCTGCCGACAGCTGGCGAAGCTGCCTGGCACTGGCACGCTGGACTTAAGTCACACCAAGCCGCGTGAAGTCATGCCTGCCCATGCGCACACAGGATTAAAGCGAAGTCTCACCAGTCGCGCTCGGCACCACATGAAGTTCAAAACGCCATGTTCACGCACTTTCCAGAGCAGTTTTTGCAACAACAAAAAGCATCCCGCGGCATGTGACTTGCTTGTCAAATGGGGCAACAACATCTCATCTGATATTGCTTGTTCATGCCAAGCACCAGGCAAGCCACATTTGGGGGCATCATGTTACATCCCCACGGCACCGGCACCCCAGAGCAATCTCATTAATCCACTGGGCGGATCCCAGAAAAACTTATGATACTCTTAGTCTTACTTATTTTGCGAACGGCATTTTTGGTCAATCTCATGGCGATGCGCGAAGTCCACGCAAGGTTGCGCCCAAGGCTCGGCAAGACATCCATCCATATCCATCCCCTCTTGAAAACAGAGAACACTGCGAGAGTTTGGAAAAAATGCCATGGCAAATGTTGATGCAAGTTTGTCTTGAGAAGGATTCTACCAAGTACACACACTTAGAAAACGGAAATTCCCACCAGTATACATGCTGCTAAAACCATGCTCTGAGACAGCACGCCCCAAGCACACGTGCCCAAACACATTACTGAACTTGCTCACGGAACTATGGCCTTAGATGGGTAGTCGCCACGCAGTTGCCGGCTCAGGGTGCTGTCCAGAGTGATGCGAAGTTGTAGCCAGCTATCTGGAGTCTTTGCTGGTGCACCTATTATTCAAGGCGCATGAAAAGGGTGTCCAGATTTTATGGCATTTAGTAGGGTCTCAAGTTTGAGGAACGGTGGTAGACTGATTCTCGAGTACAACCATGCCACAGTTGCCAACACGCGCGTTGGACATCAACATCTCTCCACCAGCCGTGCACCATTGCGTTAACATGCAGAGAAAGGGTGGCTCCCGTTCTTACTAAGACTGGCCGGGCGTGCTGTCGTATCTCAGCCAGCTGCTGGGGCAATCTTGGAGCAGCTTGCAGTACGCTCGCACCCTCCCAGGCCAGCAGTAGGTCAGGAAGACAAAATTGCTGCTTGCAGAATTCCAGAGCTGAGCAACAGTAGCTGTCCACGTGGTCAAGCACCAGCTCGCGCAGCATGTCCGAGGGAATGGCAACACCCACAAGGCACGCATCATGGTTGCTTCCGAAAGCATCTGGCAGCACTTCTCTATTGCTTTGTTTCGCAAAGCTCCAGGCCTGCTCTTTGGGCGCTGACGCTGGGCCAAGCTCGACCACCTCAAGATGCCCCAAAGCTTTCATGATAGCTATATAGATTGGCAAGCCCCTTGAATGCTTGAGACTCGGAGGCGCTTATGATGTTGGGGAGTGATGCCAGAAGTGCTGCGTGTCCAAATCAAAACTCTTTCTTCTGGGCTTCCTGCTGCCGGCATTTCGATCCTTCTTCCATCCGGCTTCCGAATCCGAAGGCCGTTCTTGAGGCTGCGTCATGCCATGTGTCATGCCCAAAAGCGGTACGCAAGCTCGATCTTCCCCGAGGTTTACGGCATCGCTCCCCTGAGCTATTGCAAGCTCTGCCGAAAAATTCAGATGTCAGAAAACTCCCCAGCTGCAAGGACTGAAACCCACCAAAACTAGCAGCCAGCAAGCAGTGTTTGGAATGCTGAGGACACCAGCTGCAGGGCCTTACGTTCCCGAGAATACGGGAGAGTTCGGAAACCGCGGAAGGCCCCCGCTGTTTGAAAACATTATGAGCGGTGAAGCCCCTGGCTTCGGAATCCACGTAAAAGCTGGCTACCCGCCGCTAGTCCTTGGACGTCCCAAGGTCTCCCGGGCGTCCCATCTCTTAAGTATTCCACGGACTAGCTGGGAGCCCCCTCTTCGAATGCTTCAGAGAGCAGCTCCCGAGCCTCCCGAGGTCTTCCGAGCTCTTATATGAATACTATGAAGAGCTCGAAAAACCTGGAAAAAACTCGAAGGACCCGCATGCTGTCTTATGGCATTCTAAAGCCATTCTCCTCGGAAGTCTTCCCAGCTCTTCCAAGCCTTTCCAGGAACCAGAAAAAGCTCTTTCACCCCTCTCCTCGGCATCCACGCGGTATCCCGAGCGCTTACAAGCTCTCTCCCGCAACCTGGTACCCTAAGTGGCTTGGCCGTGCTCGGCAAATGCCAAGTACATGCTTGACCACAAGTTGTTTGTCCAGTATATACTTTCCAAATTGGGACTCAACTGCACCCTCAATGCGCATGCCGCATCCCCAGTGGTGGTCATGACATTTTGTCTGGAGACCACGCTAAACCGTCAGCCCTGGAATGCTTAAGAGTGCTTCAAGTCCACATATGCGGTACTGTATATCAATAGCTGCTCTTTCCATTTCCTAACCCCCGAAAGCCATGAACAAAGCTTCTTTCTGTGCAGACCTCTACGCTGAGGCACCTGAGCTGCGGCCTAAACCCTTTGAATCTTTTGTTCTTATTCGTTGTGCTATCGCGGACGCCAGTCGCAATACTG